ATATATATATACAATTTAAATCATTTTTGGCATAGCCACCAAGTTATATATCCATCACCAGGATACTATATATTTTTCTGACTTTATGATGAAACTTTGTAACTTTTACTTATCAGTCCTTTCACCCCTCACTCTTTCAGGACAGATCCACTCTTAGTTTCCATATATGTCCCATTTTGGATATTTCATAGGAATGGAATCATTTGGTAGACAGTGGGCAGTTTCTCCTTTACTAGGAATAATGCTACAGTGGACATTCTTGCAATAGTTTCTGAGAGGACACATATTTTCATTTCTTTTGCAAATATTGCTTGGAGTGGATTTGCAGAGCCTTTTTGACATGTGTGTTTAACATTTTTTGTTTGTTTGTTTGGTTTTTAAGACATGGGTTCAGTGTGTAGCCCAGTTTGGCTTTGAACTGTGATTGTCCTGCCTCGGCCACCCAAGTGCTAGGACTGTTGGCATGTGCTAACACACCGTGCTTCAGCGGGAGCCGTGACTGAGCAGTGCCATTTTACCTTCCCACTAGCAGTGTGTGAGACTTCCAGTCTCTCCACACACACTTATTGTATTAGTCAGCTTTCTGTTACTGAGACAAAATATGTGACACTCACAATTTAATAGAAAAGGTGTTTGTTTTGACTCATGATTTCAGTCCATGCTGGCTGTCACAGTAGAAGAGTGTGGTAGAAGAAAACTTCAGCTTATGGCATCTGGGAAGCAGTAAAGGAAAAGCCCCAGAGAAGAAAGGGCTGTAGACAAGGTCACACCCCCATAGCCAACCCAGATACACTGAGAAGTGTACTTTACTGGTCACCATGGTGTCTCTCAAGCCAACCAATCTGACAAGATTAACCCTCACGTTTATTATCTGATTTTTTGGTTCTAGCTATCTTAGTGGGGAGGAAGTATTATCATATCATGGTTTTGATTGATATTTCCCTGAGGAATAATAATGTTAAGCAACTTTTCATATAATCTTTTTTTTCTGTTTTGGTGCATATTAATTATGCAGGATAATTTTTCATTTGGCATGTTCATGCATGCTGATAACATATTTGATCATATTTCCAACCCCCCATTATTTATTTTCTTACTTTTTCTAATAGGCCCCTTTTTTCTTTCATGTTCTCTCTCTTTCTCTCTTCTTGATTCTACAGATGAGCGAAAGGAAAACATATTTGTTTTTCTGTTGTCACTTACCATGATGGTCTGTAATACCATTTATTTTCTTCCAAATGATGATTTCATTCTTCTTTATGTCTAAATAATACTGCATTGTGCATACCTACCACATTTCCTTTTTCTATCCATCAGTTGACAGACAATTAGGCTATTTTCATAACTTAGCTACTATGAAGTGTGGCATGGTAAACATGCACGTGCAGGTATCCTGACTTTAATTCTTTTGGGTATATACCAAGGAACGTCATAGTTGGATCAGTTGTTAGCTCTGTTGTTTTATTGTTTGTTTTTTTGAATAACCCTTATACTGATTTTCATAGTGGCTGTACTAGTGAACATTTTCACTAGCAGTGTATAATCCCCTCCTGCCCTTTCCTTGCCAGCATTCATTTTGACATGCCATACTTAACCAGAAGTCCAGTATTCCTTTTTATTCTCAAAATATTTCATTAATGCTATCTGAGGAATTGAATTTTTAACATCTTTTCTTATTTTGTTGTTAACATTTGAACGTTTTATTTTGTAGGATGCCTCATTGATGGACATTAACTCCTTCAGCCCTATGATGCCAACATCCCCTTTATCAATGATAAACCAAATCAAGTTTGAAGATGAGTCAGATTTAAAGGATCTCTTCATTACAGTTGATGAACCTGAAAGCCATGTTACTACAATTGAAACTTTTATTACTTATAGAGTTGTTACAAAGGTAAGCACTGAATAAACATTTTCTTTAATATCGCCGCTCCTTTGACTTTTGGAAGTGCTTCTTGCTCATCATAATTCTTAATTTAACAGGATCTTAGCTGAATTGACTTTTGTAAAACTATTTTGGGTAAGACATTGCATCATAATCTGCCTTTGGCTTGTTCTGTATAAATTATATGACATTTGAATTGCCTTGAGAATTACTCACTTTATTGTATTTGTTAGTACAAGAACATTTAGGCTTTTATTCTGATTATAGAGAAATGCCTTTGGTAAAGTCTTTGGTTGCTAATGAAGAAAGTAGATGGTTAAAAATGTGACATAATATTTTATATTTTTATTTCTTATGAAGATTATTAAATATAATACTGCTTGTTTTCTAAATAAGAGTAAGTAGCCATTTTGACTTATACATGAAGTAAAATTACTTGTCTGGATAATTCAAGGGCAGAAGTAGATCTAGAACTTGAATCTCCTTAATCCCCTTCAAAAATACTTTATCTTAGACAAAATAAATCAAGTGATTAGTACGATTTATGTTTCACCAGGCCCTTATTTAATGGTAATATATAACAAATTTTATTTATAGGTTTAAAAACTTGTTACAGTCTTCCCCTAAACCCATGCAGTTTATAAATATAAATATAAAAGATGTCTGTCACTTTTGAAGCTGACACTAGATTTTCTTTTTTACTGTACTGAATATTGAACATAGGACCTCAGGTTTGCTAGGCAAGCATTTTTACCACTGAGCTACATCTCCAACACTGCCCTTTTATTTTAGCTGTAAAGCTTCTGAACTGTGTTCCTGTAGTTACATCTTCCACTGCAGCCTCCACACTTCTGCATTTTCTTTCCTAAAACTGTATATATCTGATCTCCTCACTTAGTTTGTCAAAATTCTTTTTTGACACTTCATTTTCTACACTACAAAAATGTAAACCTCTTATATGACATGTAAAGAACTTCTTATAAGACTTTTCTCTGACTCCCCACATTCAGAATCCTAGCTCTCTGTTAGAACTGCTTCGGGTCGAAGAATATTCTAAGGTATTTCTTGCTTTCAAGACTTTGTGCTTTCTCTTCTGTCTGATACGTCCAACAAGGACAGAAGAACTGCTGTGTATTTTTCCAGATGCAACTCAAAATGTCAGATGGCTGTGAAGGCTCCTCTTGCTTATTGCCTCACAGGTGAAACAGTCATTTTTCCTCCGCTTTTTCATACTATCCTAATTGAACGTAAGGAATGCAAGACATTGGAATCATTATAGCAAGATTAAAAACCTATATTTAATTCTTCCAAGCCAGTTTTTTTAAATTTATAAAACTGAGATGATAATAGACCCTAGACCTGCAGCATTGTTGTCAGAATTGACTTAGGATAAGTACTCAATGTAAAATACTTAGCAAAGTGTTTAATACATGATAAACAAATATTCAGCAATTGCCATCTACCTGTCTTTGAGTAGAAAACTGTGTTTATTTGTATTTGCTCTCAGTGAGTCCTCAGCTTCTCAAGGAAGGTGACTAAATCTAAAGTTATTATTCATTCCAAATATAATTCTCAGGTTATAGTAAATAAGCAGTTTAACTTTTTTGGTAAATGAATTAATGGAAGAATTTATAGTATTTTAGCCCCATCAAGAGGTGGTAGAAAAAGACAATATAGAGTTGAATCTTGATTTCTTCCCTTGTTTGCTATATGTCTTGGGCATGTTAATTAAATCCTCTTCATTAGTTTTCTCATCTGTAATTAGGGTAACAGCAATAAACCTGTTGGGTCATAATGAACACTGACTATGTTAATACAGGAATACTGCTAAGAATTGAGGCAGATCTCTTCTGTTCCTGCTGGTGTAATAACAAACATTCATTGTCATTGTCTTTCTAAGCAGAAAATTTGTGAAGCTGAATTATTTTCTCGTCATTTTTAACTCTCAGAAAGATACTTTGTATGATCCACCACAATAGATTTTATTCTGATTAATAAAACATGTGAGTTTTCCATATTTACATAATACTTTGAATTGACTGCTTTTATAGGCATAGTAATAATATTAGAATATAGAAATGGGATAATATTGATTGTGCCTACTTTGCATTAGATAATGTTCTAACCATTTTATTCATATTAATTTATTTAAGTTCATAATTATTCTAGAATTTAGATACTGTAATTTGCCCTTAATTTACTAATGAGAGCAACACAGCTTAGTAACAACCAAAGATTACATAGCATAATTTGCTGAGTTGGATTTAAACCCAATTTACTTTCATACTATAATTTTTGTTATATTTTTATGTGTCAAAGTATGACTGTGGCACACTTTTTAACTGTTACACACTGAACTCTTTTGTTTTACTCCCCGTTACTTTTACTAACATCCTTACTATATAAGCTGAAATATATTTTACTGGTACAAATATATAAGCATCTAGTATATATTATGTTACTAAAAATACTTTCTTTATTTGTCTTCTTTTTTTTATTATCTAAAGCTTTATTCCACTTTTCCCTCATTTGTAGAATAGATGTTATATTTATTTACTTATATCAAAATTCTGAAATACATTTTCGTAGCTATATAGTTACATAATATTTTTGTTTTTGCTGTTTTCATCTGCGAGCCCCCTGGTAGAACAGGTTCAGGGGCCCGGACTGGGAGGGCAAGAAACGGAATCACCAGACAGGCTCCGGGGAGGTTTCTGGACCGCTTCCCCTTTATTCGGGAACTGCACAGGCTTATATGGGGACAACCATGGGGGAGGAGCATTTAACATTTGGCGATATCTTATTGGAGACACGGTGGAGTGATTTTTCTTGGGCGAGGCAAAGGAGTCATGGACTAGGGGCGGAGGTGTAGCCTGTTGGACCCAGCATCTGCGCTCTTAGGAGAGTTAGCTCAGCCTTAGCAAGGTTTCCGAGTTAGCTCAGGAGACAGGAGTGTGGCACACCTGGCCCAGCCAGGCTTGAACTTCTCCCACATGTTTTGTTTTTATTAGTATATGTTTACAAGACATAATAATTACATTCATCTGAGGAAATTGGTACATACTCAAAGTGCATCTTGATCAATTTTACTTCACCTCCCCCTCGCCGCTCCTTTTCCTCCTCCTATCCTTTCTTCTCCCTCCTCCAGTGATTTATGTTCATTTATTCATTTAATAATTTATTCCATAAAGTTTTATTGCATGCCCATTGGTTCCCAGTACTGGCTTGTGTATTAAGGTGACACTACTCATCAAGACAGACCTGAGAGAGGACCTATCTTCCTTCATGTATCTTATCAGGGTGATGGGCAGGCCGATGATATTAAAAATTAGTTATTTATAGCTGTAAGTCTTATGCAGGAAAAAATATAAGATGTCGTGACCACTCCATCTAACAGACATTCAGAAATGGCTTCTCTGAGAAAATTTTAGCTTTATAAATATATTCACAGACACCGAGGCTTGTAAGGATGAATGCATAAATATATATATATATTCACATACATCAATAATCTCCTGCTTAGTGACACTTAAGAGTGATTTGATTATAAATAATGGTGCATACCAGGACACCCAATTTCATGTCATCTTTTTGCCTTATGGGGAATTGCATCTTATTCTCCAGGTTAGATATCTAAAGTGACTGACTACTTTAAAGAAGCAGTACGTATGTATTTTCTCTTTTAAAGGTCTAGAGATCCCTTTCCCATACTACCTGTAGAAGTAAGAACTAAGAGCTTTAACAATAGTCTTTTCTCCCACATCTTCATCATAAAGACAAACCCATAAATGCCTAGCAGTATTTAGGTAGGGGTTAAGTCATGTTCTTGATGGGGCTGAATTGATAATTAGGATTCATTTTCTCTCCAAAACAGTTTTCTAAATCTTTAGAATTTAGAATAATTGTTTGCAGTTTACTAAAGGTCAGTGCTTAATGAATTTAGATATATAGGTTACATGGTGTTTATTGGAATCAAACTTCAAGTTTCTGAGGTTTTATGGTCATATATAAACAACCATGATTTACAATATTGCTTTTATGGGAAATTATATTCTAGATTAGCATTGATTTTACTCCAAATGAACTTTATTGAACACATGCTCTTTCTAAGTTGCAAAGCTATCTTTAAGCCCAGTTATTTCTATAGTTTGGAAGCTTTTGTCTATCTTCTGATAACTGAATCTGGCTACTTTAAGAGAGATAATGATTCTCTGCTATAAGAAAATTACTTATGATCTAATCCCAGTGGATTTTGGCTGTTTCCTTATCACAGTCCCTTTAGGTATTGACTAAAGTCTTAGGAAGAAACAGCCTATTTTTTTCTTGGTAATTGTACTTAGCCTCTTTTTTCTTCTGTGATTGCAGTATGTTAGAGAATTCTTTTAAATCAATGACAGAGTGATGAGAAGAGAATCAACCAATTAATTGACTTATTTTATGTCTTGATATTTATACCAGAATGTTTTATGTTTACTAAAGAGTTGGAAATATTTGAGGACATATACTGCTCAATATTACTTTAAATGCCCAGTTTTGAGTGGATTTATTGTTTGTTATGACAATTTATTTTTTTGGAAATTGGTAGTGAACCTGTCCATATGTGCCTGGCACAGAAAGGTGTTCTCTGTTTCTTAATGAGTGACTCTAAGCCATGTTTTGTATGCATATGTATGTATGTATACATGCATGTATGTATTTGCATACGTATGTACACATACCAACTAGTACATATATATTGTTAAAATGTGTTTAGACTAGAGTGATTTTTTCTATTTTTACTATTTCCATATTTTAGCCCTTTTTGGAAATAGGTTTTTGTACTGTTTCCAGAACATTTAGCTTAGACTTCTGCATCTCATTTACCTCCACTTTTTTACACCATAAAGGGAATATTTTACTAAATCATAATGTATGATATTTTAAACATTCATTTAAAAAGATTAAGCTTTGGAAACACAGGCTTTACAAATATTTCATGACAAGATTACATCTTGAACTGCTTAATTTTACAATTGGCTTATCTGTGTGAGTGATTGATATTTTTGATGACAGTACAAAATATTTCCAGTATATTTTTCCCATCTTTAATCCTTCAGGAGAATTTCAATCTAAATATTGCTGCCTGTAATTTTTAATAAGTAAAAACTCAGTTAAGATATAGGAAAAATAATCTGTTTTCTAATGAGAGGTAGGTATATGTTACAGAAGCAATACGTTTGTTTTTTGGTCAGGAGTGAGGCAGTACCTGTGAGGTTGATATTATACTCATGTTCTTGTCATATGTGATGGCATAGATTTTTTTGTCTTGTTAAGAACAGATATCTTAATGTATTCACTTAATTTTCAGGAGTTTGGGCACCTACATCAAAATTCCTTGAGAAATGACAGAGTGATTTTCTTTTCATATCAAATATTCATTAATTGCATTTTTAAAAATACAGTGGTAAAATCACTCTGAAAAATGTTAGAATTTTTAGTATAAAAACAAATTTTGGCAAGCAGTTCATTTGAGCAAATTCCAAGAAAACATTTTTCTCAGTCACATTCAGGTTATTTTACAAATTGTAAAAACAGGACTTTCCTCAAATTCTGAATTCTAATCATCTTGTGAAAAGAAATGTATTTGAAGCCTGATTCAGAATGCACTTTTTTCTAAAGTGAGAAAATCATGCCAAAGATAATAGTAGTTAAAATCTTGTGGAAGGCAGATGGTTGTTGTAAGACAGATTTTTCAGTTTAGACTTTAAATTTAAGCATAATGTTTGCTTTCTTTTTGGAAATACCAGAAAGTTTGCTTTATTTCATCTGCTACATGAATAGATGACTAAAAAAAAAAAAATACAGGCTGACAAACACTGAATAATTACAGTTTGTTAATTTTTCTTAGAGACTCGTTTATTTCAGAATGTCTAAAATAACATTGGGCAAATGTCTTCTGTCTTACATTGCTTATGCTATTATTTTCTCATACTTTCTTCAGACATCTCGTGGGGAATTTGACTCTAGTGAATTTGAAGTTAGAAGACGTTATCAAGATTTCCTTTGGTTGAAGGGAAAACTTGAAGAAGCACACCCAACTCTCATCATTCCAGTAAGTCTGCAAGTTTTTGCATATTTGTTTTCGTCCTTCTCCCCGCCCCCCCGTCTTTCATTGTTTCTTTGATGAGTCTTTTGGAATGCCTAAAATCTAACATGAGACTTAAGTTCAGTGTAACCCTTTTATCTTAGATACGTTTTTTCCTAAACTTTTTAGTCTAAGTATATAGTCTTTTAATAAAACTATTATGATATGGACTCTTTGGGCTCTAACATTGTGAATTTTTAAAAGTTGTTATACAAGAAATAATTTGATGTTCAGCTAGTCTTGAAAAAAGAAAATGTAGAATTCCTTGTAAACCTGTGCCACGTTATAGTCAGATGGCTTTTATTTTTGTTCTTGTGTTTTGGTCTCAGCCATTACCAGAAAAGTTTATAGTGAAAGGAATGGTGGAGCGTTTTAATGATGACTTCATTGAGACCCGCAGGAAGGCATTACATAAATTTTTGAATAGAATCGCTGATCATCCAACTTTAACATTTAATGAAGACTTCAAGATTTTTCTCACTGCGCAAGCTTGGGTAAATAATTTTGATCTATACTCATATAATCCTGTATTGTTTATGTTTCATGGATCATATGCTTCCTCTTGTTTACCTTTACAAATCAGGCAGTAGTGTCCTTGAATTGAGGTGGCGGTTTTAAAAAGAATGAGGGCTGCACCCTTTAGTGATAACTCTGTGTCAAGTCTACATGTAAACATTACCAAGATCTTGTATCTTCCTCACATATAACTGATCTTATTTTTTTGGTTGATTCTTTAAAATATCAGAGTGCTCTGTGTATGTTTAGGCAGTATTGAACATAAATAAATTACTGTATTGACACTATTTTGAGTAATAATGGATGAGGATCTGCAAGTTGGAATAAGTCATTATTAAATGGATGGATGAGGCCAGAGAGAAGCAGAGAGCGATAAAAACAATCTTGTTACTTTTCCTTTAATTATCTATGTGGCAGGTATCCTAATTTCAAATACAGAAACCACCTTACATATTTTACTTCTTTTTATATTTTCTTCTGTGAAGCTATAACTCAGTAAGAAAGATAATATATAAAACAAAAGGTCAGTATTAAACAATTACTGAACAATGTTGAGTATTATGTCTCTCTGTTGTTGCCGAAGTGGTAGAAGCTAAAAAATACTTCATCTCAATCTTGACAAATAGTCTTGCTCTCTGGAAGTCCTTGTGACTTATGTGAAATAAATTTGTGGCCTGACTCCAGAACTTTCAAAGCTGTTAGAAACATTCCCTACAGTCAGCAGTTGCAGTAGTAGCGTGCCAGTTGTGACTTGGGCTGTCTCTGATAATGTTTTCCCTATCAGGAGAGGCTGTGGCACTCCTGGATGGATGTGTTGCACTGCCAATGATGGCATTTGTTACTATTTATATACAAAGTTATACTAACTTGTAGACAAACAAGGTATAGATAGATATCTGTCAGACTTTAAATATATCTGTAAGATACTTAAGTACATATATGTTTCTTTAAGGCTTTCAGGAATGAAAAAGCTTGGAGAAAGGTATTCAGTATGTTTTTCAATATTTGGGTAAATAATACATACTGTTTGAATTTATGAATTAGGTGATTTCTATTGCGTTACTCTTCACCTTAATTTTGATCCTGTTATCAGGTTTTGAAGTGCTGGGGTCTCCTTCTGGAGTTGGTTTGTAGGTTCTTTCTGTCGAGTCAAGCACAAACAGTAGCAGAGTTTTATATTTATTAAAGGTAGGAAAGGAAATAGGCTCTGCAGAGTGAATTTGGGTCACATAAAAGTGGTAAAAGAAGCACACTGTACAGGAGAGAATGGCTATTACGTGAGAACACAGTGGCACAGACCTCAACGTGGACTGTTCTTTTTGTATGATCCATTCTTTAGGCTGACATCAGGTCTTGCCATCTGAGAAAAACCTGATCAAGTTCTTGTGAAAAATCTGTGTGCAGAGTTTTGGGAACTGTCCTGCACACATGTCCTGGGATTTTGTAATTAACAGGTCATGCCTACTTCACACCCTAATCTCCTGTCTCTATCCCAAACCCATTTTCCATGAATGCTACCACCATCACCAGGCTGGTCCTTTGTCCTCTTTTGGGTTCTTTTTTAAACATACCACATTTTTGAAGGGATACTTTTGTATGCAGTGTGTCCTTTTATGGCATGTCTTCTGTTTTGCAAGCCTGGGACTGTCCTTTCTGGATGAACTCTGAAATAACTAGTTATATATCTTATTAAAAATCTTTCTCTGCAGCCAGCCAGCCAGTGGAGGTGGTGTCACAATTTGCCCACTTCAGTGGAAGAGCTGTGGTCAGGTAGTATTTGCAAACTATCCTAATGATGTTAAAGAGGCAAAGTAGGTTCATGATTCATAGTAAGGTCTCTGCAGTCCAATTGCCAGGATTCTGATCCAGCTCCACCACTTACTTAATTGGTCTTAGATTTTTGAGCAAGTTTCTTAACCTTGCTGTGTCTCTATTTTCTGTGAAATGAGGATAATAGTAGGACCTACCTCATAAGTTTATTGTGAGTTATGTATATAAAAATGTAAATAGTGCCTAAATATATTAAATTCTCAATAAGTGTCAGCTATTATTATAGCTAAAAAATTATTGTGGTTTTCCACTTTTTGTGAGAAGTAATGTAGGCCCTGACAAATCTCTCAATGGTTTTCCATTAAATTCCTATTGGAAAATATAAATGGCCTATCATATCATTCTCTTTTCTTCTCTAGCATCTCCTTGAGCACTGTTCCCTCTGTACATTGTGTCCTTTCAAGGGTTTTTGCTCTAAGACAAGACTAGCCACCTGTTTTACGTGAGTACTCTGTTATCCTCAGGACTGAGACTTGGAGGAGAAACTGTATCACAATGAAACTCATCTGCTTCAAACTGACATGGAAAAAAGTTATATATGAAGAGTTTTATCGTCTTTGTCCCTCTCCTAGTTAGGTTTCCTTTTTTATTGAGCCTTGGAATCTTACCACTTGATTTACCACAGACTTTTCATCTTTCCTTCCTAGGAGCTCTCTTCTCACAAGAAACAAGGACCTGGGTTGCTGAGCAGGATGGGGCAAACAGTCAGAGCTGTCGCATCCTCCTTCAGAGGCGTAAAAAACCGCCCAGAGGAGTTCATGGAAATGAATAATTTTATTGAAATATTTAGCCAGAAGATTAATTTAATAGATAAAATATCTCAAAGGATTTACAAAGAAGAAAGAGGTAGGTAGAATCTCTAATGTGTGATTTCTGATGTTTAATTTATTTTGAATCTTCACATTTACTACTATAATATGGCTCCATCTGTTAAAATCTTACCTTCAAGGCATAGTTTATGAAGTGAAAATTTCTGATTCCTAAATGATTTTGAAGGTAATCATTACCACTGCCCATCTGCTTCTATCAATCAGTATCTGTTTCAGTCCCTGTTTATAGATATTAGTGGCAAAGTAAGCCCTGAGCTTAGGATTTTGTTTTGCTTTGTTTGAGAAAAGGTCTCCATATGCAGCTCAGGCTAGCCTCCAACTCACAGCAAACCTCCTGCCTCAGCGTCCTAAGTGCTGGGATTGTAGATGTGTTTCACTACATCTGACTCCCGAGTTTAGGATTTTGAATGTGGTTATATGAAATCAGTATCAACTATTCAACAGGGACCATATCTTAAAATCAAAGAAGCCATATTCCAAGAAATAGGCTTCCTATGTTTTCTTTTTTTTAAAGAAAGAAGACAAGAAAAATAATATTTTAATAGTACATGTTGCAGTACAAAATAATTACATTCATTAGTGGGGAAAATGATAATTTTAAAAATGAATTTTTTTCTCTTAAATTCTTTTATTGATACATTTTAGGTATATAATACATTTGCATTCATCATTGGGAACTTGTACCTTTACATGATGTATCTTGTTTCTTACTTTTTCCACTTTCTCCTGCCCTCTGTTCAACCCCTCCACCCCTCCCTATTTGCAAAGGCTTTGTTTCCATTTATTTCTTTTCTCATATTTTTCCTTTCCCTTCTTTCCTTTCTTCTACCCCTCCCACTTCCCTACCCCTTTGAACCTTTTCTTGCTATTTCAAATTATCAATTATTCATTTTAATCCTTATTATATTTTCAGTTTCTCATAACTGAGAAAGCATTTGGGATTTACACGTGGGTCTTATTTATTTCACTTAAGAGTATTGCTTTGATGTGCATCCATTTAGCTATAAATGTCTTTAATTTGTCATTCTTTATGGCTGAGTAGTACAGATTTTCTTTATCCAGTCTCCACTTGATGGGCAATTGGGCTGTTTCCAAGCTTTAGCTATTACAAACTGTGCCACTATAAAAATGGGTGCACATATATCACTGTGGTATGATGAATAGCTGGGTCAAATATAACTTCTAATCCTAGTTGGTTAAAGTATCTCCGTATTGATTCCCACAGTGGTTACACTAGTCTATACTCTCACCAACAATGGAGAAGGGTTCCTTTCTTCCTGCAACCTCACCAACATTTGTTATTGGTCGATTTTTTGATAGTGATGTTCCAAGAAATAGGCTTTCTATATTTTCTAGTAATTTATTTTGATAGTGATGATGGTAGGCTTGTTAAAAAATTGCAGAAAGAATTATATATTGGAAAATATCTTTTTCTTCTCGTTTTCTATTAGTATTTTTTGTTACTTTCTGCTTTTTTGTAAAATTAGTAAGTCAGACTATTTCTTGATGATTCTTCTCTAAGTCTCTGGTGATTGTATTCTAATTTTCTAATAGTACTTACATTAAAAATAGATGGTTAAATCAGAAAACATATTTCCTAATTTATGTTAGTATTAGAAATAAGGAGATGCTTACAGGTAAACAGGAATCCCCGTGTTCATCATTAAATCATAAGGTGCATTAAAATAATCAGGGAAAAGATTTGTTGTATTTCTAGTATATAGTATCTAGATAGTGCCTAATATAATGGATGCTCAGTTAAAAATTTTTAGTGGGTGAAAGCATAAATCAATGAACATAAGATTTGAAATAATGATAGGAAAACTTAATTTATCAAGAATTGATTAATTATTAAAAGAGATACAGAAAAGAAATTATGGCTAAATGTACTTTGCCCTTTCTCTTCCTTATTTTTCCTGCACTGATACTTGATAAGATCATTGTGGTAACTGAATGCAGTTCAGTAATCCAAAAGATCATCAATACCTATTTTAATAACCTTTATTCTAATAACATGGAAAACACAGAGAAATGGACAGATTCCTGGACACATATGAATTACCAAACTGAATCAAAAAGATATAAAAATTTTAAATAACCCAATATTAGAAGATGAAATTTAAGAGATAATTTGAAAAAACTACTAACAAATAAAATCCCAGATCCTGACTGATTCACTGCTTAATTCTAGAAGAAATTTAGACGTGGTATGATGCCACTATTCCTCAAACATTTTAATGAAATTGAATGGGGAGCAATACTCCCAGAGTCATTCTTGGAAGCAAGCATTACACTGATAAAGGATCCAGCCAAAAAGGAGAATTACAGATCAATCTCCTTAATGAACATAGATGCAAAAGTCTTCAGCAATATCCTGGCAAACAGGGCTTTATCTCAGTGGTTCCGCTGCCTGCTTTGCAAGCGTAAGGATGCGAGTTCAATCCCCAGTATAAAAAAAAAAAAAAAAAAAAAGATACTGGCCAACAGAATGCAGCAAGTCATTTAGAAGATTATACACTAGGATAATTAAGGATAACTAGGATAATTCATCCCAGAGATGCAAAGATGATTCAGCATATACAAATCAATAAAAGTAATACACTACATTAGCAGAACCAAAAACAAAAATCGATGGTCATCTCAATAGATGCAGAAAAAGCATTTGACAAAGTCTAGCACCCATTCATGATAAAAAACTTACAGAAAATTAGAATATATGGGCTTAGTTTGACAAAAGCCAACTATGACAAACCAACATCATACTAAATGGTCACAAGCTGAAAAGTTTCACTCTAAAATCAGAAACAAGACAAGGATGCCCATTATCACCACTCCTATTCAATAGTTCTGGAAACATTAGCCACAGCAATTAGACAACAGAAAGAAATAAAAGTAATAAGGATATGAAAGGAAGAAGTTAAACTTTCATTTGAAGATGACACGATGATCTACATAGAAGAGCCCAAAAACTCCACTGAAAGACTCCTACAAAAAAAGAATAGAAGGGAAAAAAGGGAAACAAAGCTTTTGTAAATAAGGAGAGGAAGAAGGATTGAAGGGAAGGGAGGGGAATGAAAAAAAAATAATCAAGATATATTATGTACAACAAATAACAGACTCACTGAGAGAGAAATTAGGGAAACAATTCTATTCACAATAGCATCCAAAAAAAAGTATCTAGGAATCAGTCTAACAAAAGAAGCAAAAGACCTCTATGCTGAAAACTGTAGCACTCTGAAAAAAGAGATCGAAGAGGATAAAAGAAAATGGAAAGATATTCCCTGCTCCTGGGTAGGAAGAATCAACATATTGAAAATGGCCATACTACTAAAACTGCTATGCAGATTCAGTGCAATCCCAATTGAAATTCCAACACTATATTTCACAGAACTCGAAAAAATTGTCCAAAAATCCATTTGGAACCTAGAATAGCAAAAGCCATCCTAGGCAACAGAGACACAGCAGCGGGTATAACAATTCCCAATTTGAAACTATACTACAAAGCCACTGTGATAAAAACAGAATGGTACTGGCAAATAAACAGACCTAAGGATCAGTGGAATAGTTTGGAAGATACAAAAACAACTCCAGATCTACTCAGCTACCTCATCTTTGACAAAGGAGCCAACCATCCTTACTGGAGGAAAGATTGCCTCTTTAATAAATGGTGTTGGAAAAACTGGATTTCAACCTGCTAACGATTAAAACTAGACCCTTATCTTTCACCATGCACTAAACTAAAGCCCAAGTGGATTAAAGATCTAAATATTAAAAAAGAAATACTAAACTTGCTGGAAGATAAGTTAGGCAGAACTCTGGAAGACACTGGCATAGGAAAAAACTTTATGAACAAATCCTCAGTAGCATGGGAACTAGTAGAAAGAATCAACAACTGGGATCTCATCTTTCTAACAAAGCTTCTGCACTGCAAAAGAAACCATCAACAGAACGAAAAGACAACCTACAGCATGGGAAAGAATTTTTACCAGATGCTCCTCAGACAAAAGACTATTATCTAGAATATATAAAGAACTCAAAAAAATCAGCCCCCCCAAATATAAAGACCTGATTCAAAAATGGGCATCTGAAATGAATAGACATTTCTCAAAGAAGTAAAAGTAAATATATGAAAAAATGTTCTGCATCACTGATCATTCGAGAGATGCAGATGAAAATAACACTGAGATTCTACCTCACCCCACAAAGAATGGCTGCTATCAAGAAATCAACCAATAACAAATGTTGGTGGGGTTGTGGGGAGAAAGGAACCCTTCTCCATTGTTGGTGGGAGTGCAGACTGGTGCAACCACTATGGAAATCAATATAGAGATACCTCAAAGAGCTAGAGGTTCAATTTGACTCAGCCATCCCTCTGCTGGGTATCTTTCAAAAGAATTAAAAGAATCATATCACAGAGATATATGCTCACCTATGTTTATAGTGGCACAGTTTGTAATAGCTAAAACTTGGAAACAGCCCATTTGCCCATCAGTTGGAGACCAGAAAAAGAAGAGGTGGTTTTTCTATAAAATGGAATACTACTCAGCCATAAAGAATGAGAAATTAGAGTCATTCATAGGAAAATGGATACATATTGAGGATATACTCTTAAGTGAAATAAATAAGTCACACATGTATAAATACTGAATAGTTCTCTGGTGTGAAAAACTATAATGGTACATGAGATCCTAATGGTATAATTGACAATGTAAAATAGGAAGAAAAGGGCTAAAGGTGTAGGGGAAGTGGGAAGGGTACGGGAAAGGAAATAAGGGAAAAGAAAAAAATATGAGAAAATGGAAATAAAGTATTTATAAATAGGGAAGGGAGGAGGGGGTGAAGGGAAGGGTAGGTTTAAGGGAAAAAATGAGAACCAAGTCCTGTCTTGTAAAAGGTAAAAGATCCTAGTGATGAATGTAACTGATAAATACCTGATATATACCAATAAAGTTAATGAGAAAAAAAAAGATATATTATGTATAGGCACAAATTCCCTATGGTGAATGCGATCATTATATATATGAAAATGTACCAATAAAATTAATTTAAAAAATACAGTTCATAGTATGAATGTAAAAATGTAACATTAACCTTTAAAATGAAATCCATAATTTTGAACACATAATTCATCATGCATTAAATAACAATAAGCTTTGCTTATTCATTCTCTCATTAGTAGTAAAACACTTGCTGAATAGAATACTTATCAGATCTTCAGATGAGAAAAAAAATTAAAACAGCTCCTATTTTAGGAGTAGGTGACAGTAACAAGTAGTTACAAGTAGTAACAAGCCGTTATAATAGAAAATGCCTTAATAGAACTATAAAATATTATAGGTATATCAAGGACAAAAGCAACTTAGAATGCTTTGGAACAGAATTGGTGGTGATTTTATTTGAACTGAGATTTAAAGAGTTAGAAATAGTTTGTTGGGCAATAGAAATCATAGAGAGCAAGGTAAAGGGATATGTGTAAATGTTTCAGAGAAATGGTGAGATATTCATGAACGAACAGTTATTTGGGTTTACGTCAAATATACTTGGCAGAGAATCTTCAGAGTTGGACCTGGAGAGGCAGCTTGGGATTGATTATAAAAAAATTCAGTTATTATATATTATAACAGGTATGGAAAGAGGGTGAACAGTTAGGAGTCCTTTGCCATAGTGCGAGTTAGAGATGCTGATGGCTGTGGAAGGGAATGTAGGTGGGTAGATAGGTTTAAGGTGTAGAAGTATTTAAATTGGGGACTGACTGACTGGCTCTTTGCAAGTCTGTAGCATAATCCCCATGTCTTTTTACTGAGATCTCTGAACACTGATTACCATTAAGTAGGGCATATAATCAGAAGAAAGGAGGGAAAGACAAACTTTGTCTAGGACCTGGTGCCAATAAGCCTCTCAAGTGTAGTTAATGTGGTAAGGGGAAGTTCATAATCCATATGATGATCATATAATTTGTTTTCCAAGCCAGGCTATTTTTGACGGTGAAGAATCTTTTATTGATTGTACTCGGGCAGTAGTTTTTAAGACTGACTTGGTCAACTGGGGTGATGGTCAGTTTACTGAAGGAAGATGTTGATTTGCTACGTTTTTGTGTGAGAGCATGGACATGATGAAAAAAATAAAATTCTTTCATACTATCTTCTATATAGGGATTTTGAAAACATGTAAACATCGATGAACTCATTAAATCACTAATTTTTGTTTTTAGAATATTTTGAGGAGATGAAAGAATACGGCCCCATTCATGTTCTGTGGTCTGTATCAGAAGAAGATCTGGTTGACACGCTGAAAGGTATTGCCAACTGCATTGACAAGTGCTGCACGGCTACTGAAAAGCAGATGTCTGGACTCTCTGAGGCCTTGCTTCCTGTCGTGCATGAGTACGTGCTTTATAGTGAGATGTTAATGGTAAGAACATCTAATTACAGTTATCTGCAATACCTTACTTGATTCTAGGCTTTATAATGTCAATTTTTGATCTCTTATTTTGTACCACAACTTCCCTGTCAGGACGTTTTGCACATACACAATTAATAAATATTTATTCCCTCTGGGTATGTGTAGGTGAATGGAAGAACATACTGATAAAAGGCAGGAGTACTCAATAGCATCACCAGCAATTTATAAAATTCACATAGAAACATCACCAGTCAAGATTTACTTAGGAAATAGAGTTTCTCCAACCTTTTAAAAATTTCACTTTCAAAAACTTTAAGTGCTTTGGCAGTTTCTTTTCATGAGTGTTGCTTTCCAGAACACTTCTAGGTACATTTGATTTAGCAATAGATTTAATACCATTATGTGGAAAGTACTTGAGTAGGATCTTGATGTTTATTTTGCCTTTTGGTTGCTACAAAAGAAATCCTTCAAGTTAAAATGGTTTTCTTTCATTATTTGAAAAAGCATTTATTCCTGTTATTCAGAGTTTTGCAGTTTACCTTCTCAGCTCAAGTTAAAGATTTCCAGATATTGGGGGTTTAGCAATGCTATCTGCAAAGCTCGTGATTTTCCTGTGGTATTATGCTGTTCCCATGGTCCTTTGCACGTCACCCTCTTGTTTCTGGTGCTTTAGGGTGACAGTGAAGACAAATTAACTTGCATAACTTCATTTATAATTTGAGTCATGTCTTGTTTTTGGTGTTATGAGCCCTTGATTTCTAGAGATTTCTGATTTTGTCTCAATGTTGGTAAGGAAAAATACCTTAGCTTTTCAGCATACGCTCCACTAGTCCTTTGTTTATCATGCTCAGGCTTCTTTTGAGAATGTTATTAGTTAGTATTTGTATATTTCCGACTTCTGCATATATCTGACTTTATTGGAATCCTCCTATAAGCACACTTTGCTTACTTCCCAAAACAACCTCTTACGTTTTAACTTTCAAGGAGTCTCTTGCTTCTCTTAATTAATCTCCTTGGCTACATCTACATACATTTAATTTCATTATTGATCTCCTTGTGTGTGGTTCTTCAAAGCAATCCCATTTGTATATTCTTTTCTCTTGATGAGGTAGTGTTCTCTCTTATGTCAAGATGGAAATTATGCAAATGAAACCTTGTGTTGTTAAAGGTGTAAAAAATTATAATGGCAACTACAAAGAATTATTGTATGGGCTTCAATTAATTGAATGATTTTATAGATTCATAAGGTAATCAATAATATTTACATCACATTTCTGATTTTGTTTTATATTGAAATATTTTCTCCAGTTTGATCTTAAATATGAATCATCATTTATGGATAAAATTGATTAAATTTGTATAATTTTCAATAGTTATCTTATAAAGCAGCCTAATACTTAGACTATCTTTATGCATACGAAGCCCAGTACTTTACAGAAATGGACTTTAAATATATGAGACTAAATTATAGGATGAATCATTTAGAGCAGAGAGAGGCAGGGGTTTCTTCACATTAATGACACATAACATAGTGAAATAAATTTAAAGAAATTTGTGATAATTAGTTGAATTTTATATTGATTTATTTGAAACTAAGGAAAATGTTAACCTCTTGAGTATGTTAAGCATGATTTGACTAGATGCAAAACTAGACTGGTTGTTCTCTGGACACTTTATCCTAAAGTTGCTGATTCTCATTCAACTGCTACAGATACATCTTATGACATCCATGTAACTTATTTGTGTTTAGATTATTCTCTTTGTAAAACCCTGATGAGGTCTGTATGTACCTTTCTCAGGCTCTTCTCCCTGTGTCCTGCCCTCTCTCACTGATTGACTTGTTGTTTACTCAGAGTCCATTTTGTTATTTCCTTAGCCATTTGTATTACTCGAATGTTATTATTAATATTGTGAATACTAGTGAAACATGACTGCAAATAAAAAGAGTCCCCATGCATATAAAATGTAAAAACAATGAAGCATTAAGAGAAAAATAAAAGATTGGAAAAAGTTATTAAAGATATAGGTTGATTCTGCAGTAATGTTGCTTCTCAAGAATATTTGAAATTTAAAAATATTGAAATTCTCGTTAGTCAAGCAAACAAGGCGGAACTATCAAAAAGCAGGCCGTGATTTCTCATTAAAATAAGCTTGGCTAATTGATGAATACTTATATATTTTGAGTTAAAGTAAAATGCTTAAAGTGTGAATGCACATGTAAGTTTTCTGTTTGATTAACTGTCCCTTTGCAGGAGGGCTTGTACTGAGGAGATATTTCCAGGTAAATGGCCCTATGGCTCCACTGTGAACTACACCATGTGTTTTCAGTGCTGCCATTGATTCATGTGTGTTGTTGTTTCCTTTATGTGAAGAACGTTCTTTCAAATATTGGACTTAAACTAGTGAAATATGCATTAGGAAAACTAATGAAAGATTTACAAAAAATTGTCGAGTATTTTGCTTATAATTGAGATTTTAAGATTAAGGAAACCAACTTTGTTTAGGGAATATATTCCTGATGGTTGTTTATATTCAGAAATGTATGTTTTTGTTATAGAAATATTAATTAAACTAAGTGCAACTTGTTTTATTCTTGTTTTAATATAAAGGGTGTTATGAAAAGAAGAGACCAAATACAAGCAGAACTGGATTCCAAAGTTGAAGCTTTGTCATATAAAAAAGCAGATACTGATCTGGTAGGTTTTTAAGTTTTTAGATATAGTAATTTAGAAGCAATTGTCTAACATTTTTATTAGTGACATGGTATTCATTATATGATTGTCTGTAAGCATTCAGTGGATGTTTCTAAGATTTCTTAAGCATTAAGCACCCTGTGCGCCTTCACAGTGATGGTCTCCAGGCTGCTTCTCATAGAGCAAAAACGGAAGCGGGGAAAGATGACTGTTGTTTTAGTTAACTTCTACTGAGTGCTCTGTGAAAAATGCTTTGACTTTTCTTTTAAAAACATAGGTGGGGGCCAGGGATTTAGCTGAGTGGTGCTGCTGCCTGCCTTGCAAGCGCAAGGTCCTAAGTTCAATCCCCGGTACCAATAA